GTTTGTTTGTGTACCTTGTTTCTTTACTTTGTTTGTTTACTTTGCCTTGTGAGTCTACAAATTGTAAAATTTGTTGACAATAAAGGCATTTATTTATTTATTTATTTAAATATGCGCACATATTTTTTTTTTATTTTGTAGATTTCTCTTCCAGTTGCAAAAAAATCCTAAGCTTTTGTTCAAGATATGAATGTTAACTTTGTAACAAAACTGCAAAATAAGTTCTGTTATAAAAAATCAATTTATCCCTACATAACAGATTTGCTGCACTCTTTATTGCATTACGCCACATATAGGACCCCATGCGGACTCCTAATTTACTATGGGGTTGAGTCCCTAGGGGACAAACTAATAGGCCTCCGATCAAAGCCCAAGACAGTAATTACCTGATTATAACTGGGACCAACTGATTTGATGATTGTCATTACCCCAAACATTGCTGCTCCCTTATTTCGTCGCAGTCGGTGCTGTTGCTTCGGGCAAAACAATTCTTTTTCATTTGAATTGTCTTTTCTTGCTCACATTATTGTATTGATTAAATGTTTCAATTATTTCCGTTGTCTTCGTTTAATAAATATCATTTAAGAATACTTTTACAGAGAGTTTTTTTCATCTGATTCATATCATTTTTTATTGATTCTCCCCCAAATTCAATTAAATTTTTCTTGTTTTAAGTATCTGATAAATTCTTGCTTTTTTTATTGTTTGTTATATTGTCTAGCGATGGGAACTATCGAATTAATTAGACTATCGAATGGTTAATGAATGAATGATTTCAACTATCGAATGGTTTTATTCGAATAAAATCATTCATTCATTTGTATACTAAAGCATATGTGACAACCTCGCCGTGCGACTAAATGGTTATCGTTGAGTCACGACTATCGAATGCTTTTGATAAATGAAATTTAGTATTCGTTTGATTTTTGTATGCGTCAGTGCATTATTACTTCTTCCAAATTTTTATAACTTCGCCGTATAAATACTATGCTATTTTTGCGTTTATTAAAATAGTTAAAATACTAAAATAGTAGTTATTTTTTGATTTTATTTATTGACGATTGTGTGCATGCAGGTGGTCAAAAATTTTCCGAAAATTTGTGTGGTTTTCGTTGTCCGATCTTTCAATTATTTAATTTATATGGTATATGGTCTATTTTTTAATGGGAAATTTTGAGAAGTAGCAATTTTTAAGAGAGATGAGATGAACTTACAATTAATTTTAAAAATACATATTTGTATTTTAGATGTTTTAATAATATGAATTAGTTGAACTTAATAATCATATTTAAGTAATGCGGTTGTATAATCATATTTAAGTAAATGGTTATCGAACTCAAACTATGGGGTGAGAAAATTAAAATGAAAGTTTTACACGTGCCAATTTAAAAAAAAAAGTTAACAATGTTTATATTTTGTTTATGCTAATTCTTTTACATGTAGTTTTTTGCGAAGAAAAAATATTTCATTTATTTTTTAAAGTAAATGCCAGTAAAAGTAAATATAATTTTTAAATAGTAATATAAAGCACCTAATATAAATAATTTTGATTTCTAATTTTTTATTTATATTTTCCTTACATTACACTGCATGCTTAGAAAATTAATAAATGTTTATATTTCATGATTTTAAAATTTGTTGTTAATATAACAAATTAGTTCTGTAATTATTATTATTTAATAAACCACCGTTGCCAAAAATTTAGAGACTATATTATTTTTAAATAGAATCTAATATAAATAATTTTGACATCTAATTTGTTGTTTATATTTTGCTACTACTTAAAAGAAAATATTTATATTAAATGATTTTAAATTTTGTTGTTAATAGGTATAACAAATTATTACTGTTATTATTATTTATTAAACCAGTCTTTGCTAAAAAACATTAAAAATAATTTTCTTACATTCAAAATAACAAGTATTATTGCAGTGTATCAACAGAATATTAATAAAAAAAATGCAGAATATATAAACATACTATCCCTAATTAACTAAAGCCAAACAATAATATTCTTTGCTAATATCAACTAATACCAAAATATGGCAACAGCGCCTTTCATAATGTATTTTCTGTGTAAATACTAGCACCTCAATAAAAAAAATAATGTGTCCTTATCTATATCTGACTCCGCAAAAAATCAAAGATGCCGGCTTCTTTCATAGCATTGCCACCGACCGCTGTCGGGTTTCTCGGAAAGAAACCTACGACGCCGGGCGACAACTAAAATTCAGTTAATATTTTATTATAATCGATCCTGACGAATGAATGAATTTCATAAATGAATGAATTTTATATATGAATGGTTTTTGCTGCCGAATTACTAGAATACAATATTTCAAGGCAGATGACGGATCTATTCGATAATTTTTATTCGAATAGTTTTCAACGAATGTCTTCTTACTAACTATCGAATTATTCGAATGAATTGCAACTATCGAATGTTTCGATTGTATTCATTCGATAGTTCCCACTACTAATATTGTCATAAATTTTTAACACTTTCTAATTGGTATACTATCTTTCTCGCGCTTATAGATACTCATAAGACTTTTTTGTCGCGCTCATTTAAAATCTTTATTCGCGTCTGGCAAGTATTAAATCCCATGAATTCGTCTGGCAATTAACACATATTTTTTAATATCATCTAATAAACACGCTGTAAAAATTTTAGAATGCCTAAAGTATGTTTTCCAGGTATAATAATTAAACATATTTGGAATGGTCGGGTTACACTTTAAACCCGAAAAAAAATCTGGCATACTTATTTCTAGGTTAAATAGATGCTAAAATTTAAGAATAAACAAATTTCAAGTTGCCTAAAGAATGATTTTTGGATTTATTTTTTTTGCAAATGTTATGGGTTGAACAGTAGCGAAATACCCCCAACCCCCCAGCCAGACTTAGGATTCTGGGTTCACAAGTTATTAAACTTTATTTTTTTTGTTATTCTAACTTGCCTAAAATATGTTCTCTAAATATGTCGCCAGCACTCTGGCTATCCATTTCAATTAAATAAACATAAAAATATAGTTGATTTTTTTCCTAAAAATCAAAGGCGTTTCTATGTATAATGGTAATATAATTTCGATTTCATTCTTTGATAGATGGTTATTATTAATTTTAATTAACATCATTTTTGCTGTTGTTAAAGTATGATATTTTCCGATAACTAGTTTCACCTTTTCCACTTGTAATTAACTGTTAAATAAATCTGCATACATTTAAGTAATTCTTTAATTAAAATAAACTATAAGTATTTTATTTTTCTTCAGAATGAGAATGTAAAAAGTTAGATAAGAAAAAGTCAAGGCTTCTTATTATTATTAATATTATCCAACTCTACTGCTCCAAAGTTTTCACGCCTCGATCCATATATAGATAAAAGGAAAAGAAGTCCCTATAAAAGTCCGATGTTGAAACGACTGTTTAAAACACGTAAACGCTATAAAGTGTGAAAATTACGACGTATTCCACGCTTGATACTGACGTAAAGGTGGCTACACACTACACACTACATACTACAAATTAAGTTTTAACTTTATTTGACAAAAAAAAACAGTCAAAACTCAATAAAAAACGGTTTCATCGCCACTTTGTATTATATTGATTTATGATAAAGATTATTTAGCCCTCGTTCGCCGTTACGTCATCTACCCCAGTGCAGTTATGACATTCACCATGCTGAAATTGTAAAAAATTTTAGAAAGCTGCGACCATTGAAAATAGTTAACCTTAGTAACCCTTATTAACATACTAACCCCCGGTGTTTTCAGGTACGGATAGCGTGTTATAATCTGCCAGATATATTTTATTTGACGGATAGCAGAAAAACGCGTATCTTCACCTATAGATAACAGTATCTATTAGATAAATTAAACTTATCTCCCAGATATCCTATCTGGCGCCCGAACTGCTAAATAGTGCTTTATTTGTCGGATAAAAATTTGACGCATGAGCAAAGGCATGAGGAGATATTGATTTTATTTGATATTTGACAAAATTGCTTAACATAACCAAGACATTGTTATTATTGAAGATTTCGTTTATTCAATAAATTCGATTTTAGATTATTTGGAAAAAGACTTACCTATTCTGAGTATGTAGGCTATAATCCTTTTAGAACGTATGGGGTATAAACACCAATAAACATATTGAAATGGTGCAAAAAAACTATTGTTGCTAGTGCCGGAGTTTATAAGGACTGTTACAAAATAAAGAGAGTCTCTGTTCTGTTAGAGCACCAGAACGAAGAGAATGCATAAAGTTAGGATAATAGTGATAAAACAGTAATTTATAAATTATTTTATTTAAATTCTTTCAATTATAAACCATTACTACATATTATATAAAATGCTAATGTTTACCTGTGTCGTCTCTACTGAAGTAACGACTTGCTCTAGAAAGTTGCTTTTTTTACTAAAAGATAGCTAAATGGCTCTTCTAAAAACTGTCGTCGCCGGATTTTTTGTTTTTCATTTAATTAAAAAAAAAAGTTTTTTTCCTGATCTCGTGGCGGATGCGCCAGGCTTCAACTAGTTTTTAATAAAGCTCTAAAGTAGGTAAAAAATAAATAAAACTTTTTAAATCAAACTATTTATTTCATTTTTAATTCGCATATCTTAATTCATTAATATTATAACAGGAACCTTATAAAACCTGTGTTACAATTTTAGTTTAATTTCTTGCACTATGTACCTTATACCGTATGATCGAAAAAAAAAAATGGCGTCCAGTTGGCTGGGAAATGATGATCGATGATATTTCCCATATAAATTTACATATGAAATGACAGCAATCTTTATTTCATAGCCATTGCTGACGCCGTTTTTTTCGATCATACGGTACATCTCTTCTCCATGCTGTTTTTTAAGTAACTCTCTAGCTAAACCTTGCTAAAACATCTGTATTGTGGTCCTTTGAATTCCAGTTAGTTCAACTTTGTTTAGACAAGATTTTTCCTTTATTTTTTCTTTTTTTTGAAGTTCCATCACTATCATTGATGCTATCCTACCTATTTCTTTACTATGAGAAGCCCTAGAACAACATATTTGTTTTTACTAACAGTCTTATGTTATTTTTAATTTTCAATATTAATATCTTACCAGATGATGGTTTTAGGATTGGTTTATAAATCTCTGCTTGCACTTCACCAGCTTCTTCCATATTTTCTATTATCAATTGTACTAAAATGTTAATATAATAAATATAACAGTAATATCATGTAATTAAACTATAAATTACTTACAGATTATTTTTTCTTGTTTTAATTTCTTATAAATCGCATTCCATCAATAGATCTATTGCACCACCACCACTGCTGAAATTGAATTATCTTTCCCTTTTTCCATAAAGGTAAATTTAAATAGCCTATACCATAATAGGACTAGTTGGAGTTGGAGAGAACACAAAATATATTTTAGTTGAATTTTATTGTTTTTATTTTCATTTTGACGATCTTTTGACAACTGAACAATAACCTCACATTTTAATCTAACGATTTGAAATTCCGAGTTTTTGTCTCTGTCTGTTGTATCGACTTTTCATATATAACCATCTCAATTTCAGATATCTTATATTGGCAACACTTTCTCTACGAAGTGTCTACCAGGCGGCCGTCCTCCAAATTGTTATCTATTGGATTATTTAGTATGAAAATACCCAAATGTTATATCCTATAGATATCAGGCTCTAGATTGTTTATCTTTTAGATGGTTATTTGTTAGATAAAAGTTATTTATTTATAACTGAAGAGACCGCGCCTAAATGTACCCATTTGTCCGATGTGTGCGTCATCAAAAAAAATCGGCCGCCATCTTAAATTTTGGTACTTTTTGGGAAAAAATGTAAATAACTCGAAAACGCTTTGTTATAGCGAAAAACTTCAAGAGGTAAAAAATAAAGAGAATAAAAAACTCTATTAGAATCAATAAAAATAGTTTATTATCCTAACGCAATGACGCACAAAAAAATTTTGAAAATCGAACAATTTTTAAAAGGAATCACCGAAATGCAAATTACTAATTTTTTAAGCTTATTAACAAATAACATGGATATTTAGCATCAATTGAACTGCAATACAATCCTTGTGACATTTTCAAGAAATATTTTTTATTGGTGGGTTAATAATATTTCAAAATTAACAAAAATTGTAAAAGCTACCCTTTACTAAATACATGTGTACTAATAATGTGCGAAAGCAGTCTCCACCATAGACTTAAAATAAAATATAGACTGAGCATCTCATTCATAAATAGCTGGAACATGCGGTCAGACACTGTCTTGTTATTGTTGTGTTATTGTTTTAGGTTATAACGAGTGCGACACGAGCGATAGATAGGTTGTCTCTGTCGTAACGGTCGTTCCCTGACGACTCTGCCGAGAAACACAACACTGTCTTTCGTTTCTCAAGTACACCTGAACTCTCCGTATCATAGCCGGGTAATTTTTTTATTTTAATGAAGCTATAAGTAAATTAAAAATATATCGTATTTAAACGTTTTTATATTTTATTAAGATTTAGGACAGGTTTTTTACATAAAAGTTTAGAAAAAACGTCTTAGAGTCCGAAAAGGATAAACATAATAAAATACACGTTATAGAAGAAATTTTATAATCGAAATTACGTAATTTTTGAAATTAATAATAAATTATTAATTTTAGTCAAACATTTACAACCCCTAATATTAATCAAAACCGGATCTATTCCACAGATATAATAGAATCGGCGACAGGGAGAGAAAAAAAAATGATTGTTGTAATTTTTTTTCTAGTTAAGTGATGTCTTATTATGTAAATTAGAGAAAACATAAATCTGTTCCATTAAAGCAAGGAAGGTGATAGGAAGTGGATAAAATAAAAACTACATTTATTTAACTCGGTACTGTCTTTATTATACCGGGTGCGGCTCAAAAGTGGCTCATCCCCATAATTTTTTTATATTTTCAAATAAAAAAACAAGATTTAGTATGTTAGTATATGAAATAAATTAGGATTGATTGACGCATTCAATTGTTTTTGGTCACTTCCTGTGTCACCGGAAATGACTATAACTTTTAATTTTTAAACGGCACCCTCGGTATATTTCTACTTTATTCGATAGAAAATGACACTCTGAATAGAATGAAATATCATATGTCAACTTTTGACATTTTCGCATATGGTTTAATTGTAATTGTAACACGCGGTTCATAACGACAATTTGACTCGAAATACCAAGTGTGTGGATCAATATATTCATAAAAAAATGCTTTTTCCAAATATGCTAATGAGTCACCCTTGTTCCATTTGAAAAAATTGACATATGTATGATTAAAAATACGATTTGTACATCTTTTAACCGGCCTACACAAGACACGAAACCCATTAGACGATCAAAACTATTTTTCCAAGGTTCCTTGATTAAAACTTAGTGTTTTTAACAACACCATGACACCCTGGATTGAAATTTAAAATACGATTTGTTTTTAAGCGACAATGTCAAAAGTTGACATATGATATGTCATCCTATTCAGAGTGTCATTTTTTATCGAATAAAGTAGCAATATACCGAGGGTGCCTTTAAAAATCAAAAGATGTAATCATTTCGGTGAAACAGGAAGAGACCAAAAACAATTAAATATGTCAATAAATCCTAATTTATGTCATATACCTACTAACATACAAATCTTTTTTTTTATCTGAAAAAATAAAAAAGTTATTAGGGGTGAGCCACTTTTGAGACGATCCGGTATATTAAGAAATATTGTTTCATAATGTAATATCATTTTAAAATTCTTGTATGTTATTTTAGATTCTGAAGATAATTTTAGAATAAACCGGAATATATTTTTAATAAAAACATTATTAATTATTAACAGGGAATTAATTATGATTTTGTTACAATGTAAGTAAGTAAATAATGTAATGTAAGAGAAAAAATTCAGATTTTACATTTTACTAAAATATTATCTAAATAAGCGCCTTTCTACAACAACGCCACTGACTCCTAATAGGTAAATTGAGAGTTGCCTACCGGTCGAAAGTCGTTTCAAGACTTAAATGGATTATTTAAGTCAAATTTTTTGAAAATTTGGCACTGTCGAACCATATTTTATAGTTCTTGAACAGAAAAAGTCAATAAAATAAACACTAAGGACTACAAGCTAAGAAAATGCGTAATACAGCCGGGGAGATAGCGGCAACAAAGCTTTGCCGCACACGTCCGACACGTACTACAAGGTAATAAATGAATGAATAGGCTCCCTCGCCTCTAATCGGTGTTGTCATATTGTAAAGAACTTATCCTTTTTAAACAGTATCCGACTTATAATTTAGTAGTATAAGGACTATTTAATACATCTATGGAATATTAAAACCTACTTTATTAAACTGTAGTATTAATATCTCAATATATGTGTGTAACAAGAAAAAAAAATATTGATAATATTAAAGACGTGACAACATAGGCTGGATGAGGAAGGCTCGGTCGACTGTACCCAGAAGTAAACATGTATACAAAAAAGGTTGTTTGTCCGCGTTGAGATGTAAATAGTGTAGTCTATATTTTATTTTAAGTCTATGGTCTCCACCTTGTCCCGGTCGGGGCTATTTGCACTTAAACCAAGGTCTTATTGTTACCATTTTGTAAACAACTTATTTTTTGTTTGATTTTTTTCTTCCAACCTGTAGCCTAATTTTTCAAACTGTCACTGTATTTTTAAAAACAAGTTGTTTACAAAATGGTAACAAAAAGGAGGTTGCTTTCGCACATTATTAGTACACATGTATTTAGTAAAGGATAGCTTTGACAATTTTTGTTAATTTTGAAATATTATTAAACCACCAATAAATATTTCCTGAAAATGTCACAAAGACTGTATTTTAGTTGAATTGATGCTAAATATCCATGTTATTTGTTAATAAGCTTAAAAAATTGTAATATGCATTTCGGTGATTCCTTTTAAAAATTGCTCGATTTTCAAAAAAAATTTTTACGTCACTGCGTTAGGATAATAAACTATTCATATTGATTCTGATAGAGTTTTTTATTCTCTTTAATTTTTACCTCTTGAAGTTTTTCGCTATAACGCACCGTTTTCGAGTTATTTACATTTTTTCCCAAAAAGTAGTAGTTTTTTGATGACGCACACATCGGACAAATGGGGACTTTTAGGCGTGGTCTCTTCAGTTATAAATAAATAACTTTTATCTAACAAATAACCATCTAAAAGATAAACAATCTAGAGTCTGATATCTATAGGATATAACATTTGGGTATTTTCATACAAAATAATCCAACAGATAACAATTTGGAGGACGGCCGCCTACGGACCGGTAGACACTCCGTAGAGAAAGTGTTGCCAATATAAGATATCTGAAATTGAGATGGTTATATATGAAAAGTCGATACAACAGACAGAGACAGAAACTCGGAATTTCAAATCGTTAGATTAAAAAGTGAGGTTATTGTTCAGTTGTCAAAAGATCGTCAAAATGAAAGTAAAAACAATAAAATTCAAGTAAAATATATTTTGTGTTCAACTCCAACTAGTCCTATTATGGTATAGGCTATTTAAATTTACCTTTATGGAAAAAGGGAAAGATAATTCAATTTCAGCAGTGGTGGTGGTGCAATAGATCTATTGATGGAATGCGATTTATAAGAAATTAAAACAAGAAAAAATAATCAGTAAGTAATTTATAGTTTAATTACATGATATTACTGTTATATTTATTATATTAACATTTTAGTACAATTGAATGTATTGATTGTACTATAGAAATTATGGAAGAAGCTGGTGAAGTGCAAGCAGAGATTTATAAACCAATCCTAAAACCACCATCTGGTAAGTTATTAATATTGAAAATTAAAAATAGCATAAGACTGTTAGTAATAACAAATATGTTGTTCTAGGGCTTCTCATAGTAAAGAAATAGGTAGGATAGCATCAATGATAGTAATTAAGGTGAGTTTTTATTTTATAAAATAGATAAATGCACTTATACTTTTGTCTTAATAATAATAAATGAATAGTACCTATAATAATTGTTACATTTACGCATTATATGTACAAATTATTTAATAAAAAACATTAAATAAAAACAATTTTGTCATATTACTTTTATTTTTAAGAACTTAAAGGGATGGAACTTCAAAAAAAAAGAAAAAATAAAGGAAAAGTCTTGTCTAAACAAAGTTGAACTAACTGGAATTCAAAGGACCACAATACAGATGTTTTAGCAAGGTTTAGCTAGAGAGTTATTTAAAAAACAGCATGGAGAAGAGCTGTACCGTATGATCGAAAAAAAAACGGCGTCAGCAATGGCTATGAAATAAAGATTGCTGTCATTTCATATAAAAATTTATATGGGAAATATCATCGATCATCATTTCCCAGCCAACTGGACGCCG